CTTGTGATCTTCGCCCTTTTCAAACTTCTACCGGGAAAACAATGTTTCAACTTTACAATAAAGCTTTATTTCATAACCTGAGGTCCACGACCTAAGCTTTAATCTTCAACCCCATCACCTAACTCCTAAAGTAACTCCTAGACCAATCATTAGTCTTAAAACCCTATCCTAACCATAGACCCAAACTCGAAATTTATTGGCTAAACAGAGGCAAAGGTAAGCCTAGCATGCCCATCAAGATAAAATGAGAAGTTGTCCTACAGTGTTTAACTCGATGGAGCTACATATCAGCTCCTAATCCAAGTGTCTTCTTGCGTACTTGTTTCGGCAAGGTTCCCTCTTATCCCTTCATCTCTTCCCACTTCGCATTGGTCATCACCATCATCAGCAGCAGCATTTTCTTCTTTTTCTTCTTCTTCTTCTTCTTCTTCTTCTTCTTCTTCTTCTCCTCAATCAGTACTTCTCGACTGCGAACCTCAGTAAGGATGAGGTATGTGGTCGCCTAAAAAGGATACAAGAATAGGAACGCCCCTTCTTGCGGTAAACTTCACAAAGGGTAAATATTCCCCCGTCTTAACCCTAGTATACAACTAAGCTGTAACCGTAAGCTTACTTCTGGCTCACCTTAAACATAAACCCTGCATTTACCAGTAACTGTACCTAACCTCAATTGTTACCTTCAACCCATCGGTTGGGTTGGTCGTCCCAGCATTCTGTCTTAAGGGACCTGTGGTATTAGCTTAGGTTTTAGTTTAGTATTTAGCTTATTAGGTTAGTTTATAGTACCTTTAAGTATATTTATCTAACATTGGCGGTATCTAACTAAACTAAATATAAACGAATAAATTAAATAATAGTAGCACTTAAGTTGGTAGTCCACTTTAGATACCCAAAGTCTTGTGGTTTCTTTCAGTTTTATTAGTTATAGCTCAATTTATTATTCAGTTTATTAGTTTCATTTTAGTTTCAGTGTAGTTAGGTAAATGTACTTAAATAACCAATGCATGCTAAACTAAGCCTAACTAAATTAAAACAATAAAATAAATAATAGGCTAAAATCTGAGCTGAACTAAACTTATACCGCCGGTCCCATAGGACAGAATTCTGAGGTTATGGGTAGTTAAGGTGGGCGACCAAATTAACTATTACCCCTGAACCTGATCATAAATTTAATCCTAAAATAAATCCTGATTTGCAGCAAAGACATGTGCACTGCGCGTGCTACTGCTTAGAGGGCCATATAGGTCATCCTTGCCCTGGTTTCTAGTAAACAACTACATGCCACATAGTTATAAGCCACAATAACGGTGCTTCTTCAACAACCATAAGAGAGGCTTCCTTTCCTCCAATCCGACTGATGGAAAGCCGCGTTTGCATAACCACACTAGAAGAAATATGATGCGGTTGTTACTTTCCTTAGTAGTGTGCGCGAACTCGGGCGCAGCGCATTTGACTACCTCATCTGATCAAGTTACAACCGAAACGAACTGACTGGTATAGTCCGGAAGCAGCATGAGAATAGCCGACGTACAAATCTTTCGGTGCTAACAAAGACGAATACAAGATAATTCATGACATTTTACTGATGATGTTTCTAGTTAGAGGTTGCCTAAACAGCAGAATTTAATGGATCCATAAATTTCGAGAGTGCTTATCAGCTGCTTCCCCTCGCTGCATAACGTGAGTAACGTATGAGAAAATACAACCATTGAATTAATGCAGAAAAGGTCAGTAAGGTCATAGAACCTGCTCACGAATTCTAATCAGTAAAGTAAGCATGTTAAAACACTGTGGAAAATAAAAGTGGGGAAAAAGGAGTTAAAGCGAAAAGGTTGGCAGGGAAATGTGTAAATCAGGAAGCCATATGTCACCACGGCAAAGTTAGGTTAACCACATGCTCCAATTATTTACATAGGTTGGATTTTGACCGCGATATATAGGCTGCCTCCAAGTGCGAGTTATTCGTGCCCGAAAAAGTACTCGGAAAGAACTTTTAGGGTCCACAGACTGACCCATTTCAAGCAGGTGCTCAGTAATGGATGAATGAGGATTTCCGTTTTAATGTTTTAATAGCCAACTAGGCAAGTGCTCTTTAGTTCTAGCTGCCAATTGCCGTTGCGTTCGCCCTATGTACTTGCATCTGCAAGTGTATTTTAATTCGTAAACACAATTTGAAGTGGCGTGCACTGGCAAGACATCCTTCGCACATGCAATTGGTAGGGGATTTGTTGGAGTGTAGAATATGAGTTCACCAGCAAAGGATGGCCTTTTACTGGTGTTAAGTAAGCGTCTCTTGATAGTATCTGCTATTGCTCTCTGACTATGTCTCTGATGACGAATCCGCGACGGGTATCGAAACGTCAGGTTAATAAAAGTATTGTCCCAGCGATCGAGTCGTCTTCTTCTCTGTATCTAAAGTGCTGTCATCCTTAAAAGGCAAGGATATGAAGACGGGCTTTTTCGTGACTGACTGTTCCGTCATTTTAGGCCGTAAGGGCTTGCTATACTTCCCGATAAACAGTGCTGGATATCCCTGCCTGAGTAAATTTTCTTTGAGACAGGCTATTTTTGTATTCGGTGTATCCATAGAACAGATTTTCTCGTCCTCTGGAAGAGAGTATATACCAAGTTCGCACATGGAATTAGTAGGGGCTTTTTTGGATTGCGGATTGTGAGTTTGACAGCAAAGCATGTCCTTTGTTACTACTGCACAATCAGGCAAACAGTAAGAATATGAAAACGCAGTTACCTCCTTTGTAACCGCCATAGAAAAGTTAATTGCGAAAAAATAGCGTGCATTTTAAAATAAAAAGGTGTTTTTGGCAGATTTTAATAATTCATTAAGCTGTGAAAAGCTCGGTGGCCTCGACGGTGTTCTAATCCACACCAGCAAGGTGAGTACACCCAACGCTCTAACCAGCTGAGCTACGAGGTCCCATCGGCAGCAGTGAATTCAATCGTATTTTGGTCGAATTACCCGCCCAGCTTATTTCGTTGCCTCTGGCCTCCATGAGCAACAACGACAATTTTAAAAGAGGTTGCCTTGGTAACCGTCTTCCTGATAAATGAGCAACAACAGGGCTGTTGC